GCCAATTAAGAGCTGAAGAATTATTTAGAACCCAACTAGAAGGAAGTTACTTAAGGGGTCTAGAAGTTTATGATTTACCTTGGAGAACATAAAAATGTGCGCTCATCCTTTCCAGGTGCTAAAGTCGTATTTATTATGGTTTTCACCACTGACACAGCCTGTTTACTTGCATTGTTTCTTCTAGACCTTGACCTCACCAAGATAAATAAATTAGGCAAATATCTCTACCTAACGGATCAGTGTGGGGCTCACAGAACTATGAGATAAAGAAATCCTCTATGTCAACTATACATCAATCTAGACTCAAGACAGCACAAGAAATATTTTCAGTTCCTGAACATCTATACTGCCTCCAAATGGAAAATGACTGAATCATGAGAAATGACCAGCTTGAACTGTTGAGATAGTGAGCCAGGGTGATCAGGATCTGTCTAGTCTTAGCCTTCACTGATGTTAAGTGCCACCCAGTCCTTCCTCCTTGCCCAATCCAGCCCTTGTGGTCTGTAGCATTGTGAAGCATTTGAAGCTGCTGCCTCTGTCCTGCTGACATTCTGACCCGTTTCCACACAGCTGTCTGCTCCCAGGAGGCGATGACGGGGCCCTGCCGGGCCGTGATGCCCCGTTGGTATTTCGACCTCTCCAAGGGAAAGTGCGTGCGCTTTATATATGGCGGCTGCGGAGGCAACAGGAACAATTTTGAGTCTGAGGATTATTGTATGGCTGTGTGTAAAACGATGAGTAAGTCCCGCCACACTGGTTCTGTGCAGCAGATTGTCCTGTCCAGCGTTCTGTCTTTCCCAGCCGTCCTCGTGACTGCATATGTGTAGTGCTCCCTGCCCACTCAGGTATTTGCTGTTGGTTCGTTTTTCCCTCATCTTGTGCTTTCTAGATCCAGGCTTGCTTTCCTGATGGACACTTGTAAGCTCGGTTCTCCATGTCCCTTGCTCACCGTGGGTCTGGTGGTGGTGTTGGTGGTGGTGTGTTCTCTCCCTGGTACCGTGGGAGCACCCAGAGTCCTGTTCTTCCTCATCCTGCTGTGTAGTCTGCAGGCTCCCAGAGCACTTTGTGTTTGTTGGGAAGGCAGCCGTGCCTTCAGTATTCTCTAGTTGAAAGGCACAAAAGGGTAAGCAGATCAGCCATGAGTTCTGCACATGCTTGTTTCCTGGCTTTGCCTCTCATTCTTGTCTTTGAACTACACTATCGCTGACACCCTTGATGCCTGCTTTCCAAAGCAGTGACAGTGGGTTACTTTTGGGAGTCCAGAATATTGAAATAATCTTGCTTTATGCACTCTAGGAAGAGAGCTCTGCAGCCAAGTGGTAGTAAGTTTGTTTCTGCAATATGCTGGCAACCCTGGGGTTCTGTAGAGCTTTAGGTAGTGAAAGAATTTAGTTTCTGTGTTCTTGGTCGCAAAAGGAACTCGGTGGTTCCGTTGAGTTGGGTTTACTTAGGTAGGAAAAGTTTTGCTTTTCTCCATGGTTACCCTTTTCCTTTTTAAGATCCTCTTTCTCTTACCTTGTAGTACTAACCCATGTGTTTGGAAAATCCTCAGGCCAGGCAGTCTTTTCTTGGTTTCTGTTCTGGATTCATTAGAGTAATTAGTTGCATCCTATTCCTGGTATTTGGCTATAACTTCAGATGATTTTTCATACAGATGCCTTCATGGTCCCTCTTTCTCTCCCCACCAAAATGTTTTTTAAAATCTTAATATGTTATACTTTTAGCACTTCCACTCTAGCTACTGCTCTGTGGACAGGCTATTTTTATTTGATACGATCGAAAAGATGGGGGGAAAAAAATGAGTCCTTAGAGAATTTCGGTGGCAGCAACTTTTATTAGGAACGATGTAAAGGTAGAAATTTTTGTGATACGTCCTGCTTTGTAAAACTACTTAAAACTAAGAGACAACAAAAGATTGCTTTGCGTTGAAGCCTGAAGAATTAGGGATCGTTAAAGATCATGCTGAATGTGCAGATGGGGATCTTTTCCCAAAGGATCAGAGAAGTGGTATCATAAGACACTATGTAAGGAATGGCAGTTCTTCAGGGGATTAACGAATTCTACAAAATCATAGTTTCCTGTTATTTATGGTAGGGGAGACTTGCCAAGGGGCAGCATATTTTCATGTACCGGTGGGGCCCCTGGCTGTGGGGTGCTTTGAAAAGTCCATAAGCGTGTCACTGTTATTGTGGTCAAGCTTGTTTCCTTTTTTGAAGGGGACTGATACGAGTGAATGAACCAGTTTTCATGTGGACAGAGGGCTGCGGTTCTAAGTCTGAGCCCATCCGTCTTCAGAACCAAACCTCTAGGCTGTCTTTCCCTTCCCCCTTTTGTTACCAGCCGGTGGAGGCGGCTTGTGTTTGGTATTATCTTTATCCAGCCCAGTGATATGAACCAAAGACTCTGTCTCCAACACATAAGCCTTTAAGCTGCAGGCGCGCATCTCTGTTGGCGACGTGCTTAGTGGCATGGATGGAGCTTAGTGCTTTGAAATTCTCCCAGCCGAACTATTGAGTATCATGTGGTTTGTGAAGCTATATATTTTAATTTAGTTAATTGGCTCTTGAGATCCTATTCAAATGTATGTAGGAGCCATATAGTTTTCAGAAGGTTTTAGTTGTAGCTTTTAGGTTTAGTAAATAAGAAGAGGTAAATAAAAGATGTTCTGATGGGAAACTTTGGAGTGTCTGATGCACTTGCAATTACATTAATCAGTTACACAGTTGTTTTAAAGTTGTATTAAAGTCATAAGATTCTGGAAATTAGGTGAATTTGTTTCTGAATTAAAATTTGTTGAATGTGGGCATTTGCTACCCACTAAGCTCTAACATTATGTCATGATATAGCAAGTTGTGCCAGCAAGTTGCATGTCAGTCCTCCCTAGCCTGGGAAATTTTGAGTGAATTGGGCTAATAAGAGTTTCCATGGGTATTCTTTGAGAAGTAAATTAAGTAACCTTGTCATCTCATTTCTTTCCTTTATGAGTTTAGGTTCCATTGTGCAGATATTTCCTTGCCTAGAGCCACTAAGAATCTATGCTTGACTAGCAGTGAGGAGTAGTTATTCTAATGAGTTTCTTCTCTGGGTGATGGCCTGGTAAAGCCAATGAATGTCATGAATTGAGAAGCCCAGGGTATCTTCACACTCTGGAGATCCTTGTCACATATAGCAAATTAGTTTTATCCCTGTTATCTCTGTTATTGGGTGTGGGGCTAAGAGTTCAATGATACTAGGCACAGAAAAACTATAGCTAGAACCATTTGAACTTTGTCTACCCAGTCTATAATATTCTGCAAAGAACATTCAGTTGAATCAGTTCCCCAAAGTAAGTTCTAGCCTAAAAATAGCCAGAAGAAAGGAGACCTAAGCACCAAAGTTCTTTCAAAATGGAGGATTTGTAGAAGTGCCTCTATAGGTCTGATTTCAGTCCTCACCTCTGGTGAGATGCACTCAGTGACAGCAATAATGTAGTTATGTTTTAGGTTTTAAGATTTCAAGAACTGAGGGATGATATAGAAGAAGTGATTTCTTTTTCTGCCCTAGAAGTCCTAAGTATGGGCCTCTCTGGTGCCACAGTTACCGGGAGTCTAGACTGGCCTGGTGGATGAATATCACCTAAGGGAGATGGACCAGTGTATCTAACAGCTGAGCGTTGGCAGACAGGAGCGGCCTGTACTTTGAGCGTAGTATGAGACAAACTAGTCGACTCCGCAGTCCTGAGCTCGGTTTTCTTCCTAAAGCACGGTGCAGTTTCAACCCCCAAAGAGAACTCTGTCATTTTGTTTCAGTTCCCCCAACTCCTCTGCCAACCAATGATGTCGATGTATATTTCGAGACCTCTGCAGATGATAATGAGCATGCTCGCTTCCAGAAGGCCAAGGAGCAACTAGAAATTCGGCACCGTAACCGGATGGACAGGGTAAACCTCTGCACTTCCCTTATCTTTGTGATGTTTGGCATCAGGTGACATGGTTTTCATAGTTGAAGAAAAGGGACACCATCTCCCTAGATTGTCAGGCTAACATGTCTCCTAGGACAGGTGTGAGGTGTTAAAATATAGGGGAGCTACTTTATGGATGTGACTCGTCCTTTCCCCCTCCCCTAACTCTCAGCTCCATGGTAACATAATTACCCTCAGTCCAGACTCTGCGGAGCACTTCCTGTAACCATTCGGTTCTTGTCGAGGTTTTATTGCCATTAACTAGCTTAAATTTTTTTTATTTTAATGAAGGACATTTTAATACCACTGTTGTAAATAGAAAGCTAGTAAATAGAAAGGTAACTGTAAAAATATATTAAATGAAAGCAAATATTTAATAATATGTTCTAGGCACTGTTGCTTGCTGAAGGTTCTGAGTCTCAGGTGTTTTATTTTGTTTTCCTTAAAAGAGTTGTGTTAGACCAACATGAGCAACTTAGTGCAGCTTTCTCCTAGACTTAGGAGAATTGAAAGAAAATTAAAAAAAAGAAGCCCTTGCTGGGTCTGAGCACCACGTAAAACCCCACCTATCAGCTGTGCTAGGTTTGTACTTTGGGAAATGCTTGTTATTTTATCCAGGTTGATTCTGAGAAGTAGATATTAATCCTGCCTCCCCACCCCCGCTTTGTTTTTGTTTTGTTTTCTGGTGAGGAGACTAAGGCACAAAGATTTAATAACTTGCCCAAGGTTATAGAACAAGGAAGTCATAGAATTGAGGTTACTGGAGTATAATTGAGACCTAAGCCCTTAGGAGACAGTACTGTGAACTAGCTAAAAGGGCCTCAAGGTCATGAGGGATCATTTCCTTTTGCTCAGTTTCCTACATTAGATTCAGGGCCTGGCAGTATTTTTAGAAAATGGGTGACTTATTTTAGAAATTACTCTGGTTAGAGTGCTTTGACCTTTGTTCTAGGTAAAGAAAGAATGGGAAGAGGCTGAGCTTCAAGCGAAGAACTTGCCTAAAGCAGAGAGGCAGACTCTGATCCAGGTGAGACACATTCCATTCTCTAGGACAGAGCTTCCGGCCTGACCCTTGGAAGTACTGTCAGAGCCAAACTCCCAGGAAGTTAGAGTTTGACACCTCCTTCCTTTTAGTTGAGAGCTTATGTTACAAGGAAGTTTTAGCTGGCCTGCTTTCTTTCACCTCCCAACTGGTGCTCTCTAGAGTAGCTCACCTACGGCAGAAGGAAAACAAATCCCGGGCCAGAACACACCTAATTCATGCCAGAAAGTAACCTTAGCTTGGCTGCGTTTGTTAATTCTGCTTTCCTGGCAGAAGTCTCAGTCATCTTCATTCTTAGGCTGTGACTTGTTTTTCAGCAGTACTGAATTCTTTTTTTTTTTACAGGCTTACTGAAAAGTCAAAGACAAAATAAAGCTCTCTGATACCAATTGATCTTTAACTTTGTAAGAACGTAACCTTTGAATCATAGCAGCAACTGCATTCTCCTTGAATAGAGGAGAGTGTTGATAGCAATAAGGATAGCAACCTACAGCACAGATTTGGGTTTTATAAAACTTTTAAACATTTTAAATATGTTTAACTGAATTCTCTCTTCTCATATCACCTTCTCATATCAGAACACCTTTGCTTTTTTATCAATCACCTCGAAAATCCAAGAGTGTTAATTTCTGTATAGCCAATCTATCCTATGCAGGGGAATTAATTTAACAACCTTCAACTATGCCTTTAAACGTGACCAGGTACCTCACAGATAACAGTGTGAATGACTCAGCAGAACCCACCATATCACTGGAATATGTTTTAAAATATCTATTAGGCTGTGGTTTTAGGATTTTAAAGTTAGCACCTTGCTACAATGTGGAAAGCAACAGCATTCCTTTTCTTGTAGTGTACATGGGGAAATCTGTAATGTCAGTTATGGAAATGCTAAGAAGTTCTTATGACACTTGATTTACCATGCTGTCATTAGACAAGGAAATAATTATCCTGATAAATCAGGTAAAGTACAGCAGGTCTTCAAATCATGTAATTTCATTCGATGTCGTTGTATTATAATGTTGATAAGATGCAGTAGCTACTTAACTCTTTTCGTGTCATTTAGCCTATGGTAAAATTTGTTTGTTTCTTGTGATTTTACTTAAAGTCACAGAAGCTATCGATGATGTTAAGTGAGGACTTACTGTATATAGTACTTAGATCTGATCTTTGCTCCGCTCTCTGGACTTTGTTACCAGTTTACACAGGCCTTGGGCAGGGAGAAGCCAGCACTGAGCTCTAAAATCGTTGGCCTAGACTTCTACAGGTGCCATAAATTATGTTGTTCCTACTTCCTGGGTTTAGCACTTCCAAGCTATGGTAAAAGCTTTGGAGAAGGAAGCAGCCAGCGAGAAGCAGCAGCTGGTGGAAACACACCTGGCTCGAGTGGAAGCTATGCTGAACGACCGCCGCCGAATGGCCCTAGAGAACTACCTGGCCGCCTTGCAGTCTGACCCACCACGGGTGAGTCATGTGTATAGTAGGTCACACCGATGAAGTGTGTGTTCAGTGTTGCGTGCCCCGAAGTAGCGCTTGTGTAGAACTGAAATATGACACACAGTCAGTAAAATTACATTTTTATGACAAGTTCTGGCAAGGCTGGAGGGAAGGAAAGAGGAGGGAGGAAAAGGTATCATGTTGTCATATCTGCTTATATAAGCTTAGTATTACACTTACACCTGTGTTTGCTACCTGTGATATGGAAGTATCTAACACTGAGAAAGCATAACCTCAGGATGTTGGTTGGTAGTTATTCAATTATTGAATTTCAATGGTAGACTTACTTTCAGAGAATAAAAACATACCTTCTCATGGACAAAGGCTTTTGAACCAGCTCTATTCTAAATAAGATTATGAAGTAAGGGGCAAAGTAATTCATATAAAACCCTTTTGTGCTAGTGGTCTCAGTCTTTTTTTATCCTTTAACCTGTCTTGCTTTGAGGGGATAGAAAGTATTGGAAAGGAGGAATTTGTATCCTCCTTAGGTAAGCAAGTTAAGTCTTTTCTGGGTGGTACAGGGACTGCCTAACTTGTGATTAAGGTATTGGAGGCCGAGCCAGCGAGAGAGTACACACTGGAGGAAGACATTGGGCTAGAGATTCTGGGAAATGCTATTTGTTAAGGAGCCAATATAACTTTGGAACTCAATTTTTGGTACTTAGAAAGGTAGCTTCTTGTTACTTGATGAGCTAGCTGAAAGCTTTTAAAAGTACAGCTTCATTCTTGTGCTTCACTGAGCTTTACATTCTTAAATGAATTTTTAAAGCTTTGTTTTCCTGCCTGTTTTCAATTCCCTAGTCTCAGGATATTATAACAACTGTTCTCTCTTGCAGCCTCATCGCATTCTCCAGGCCTTGCGGCGTTATGTCCGTGCTGAGAACAAAGACCGCCTGCATACCATTCGTCATTACCAGCATGTGTTGGCTGTCGACCCAGAAAAGGCGGCCCAGATGAAATCCCAGGTACACTAGACAGAGTAGAAATTGCTCCGGGGGACTTTTTCTAGTGGGACAAGGCTGCTTTGACCAACAGTTGGACAGTACTGATAGTTGTGCTTGATATCAGTCTTTAGAAAATGATTTTTGATTTCCAAAGATATCCTGGGTACAAGAGTTGGTTTCTGCAAAGTTACTATTTTTAAAATATCTTTTCCATACTTTTTATATGAAGTACTTTCTACTTAAAATAGTTTCTGAAAGTTTAGGGATACATGATTGATTATATTGAAGAAAAGTCAGTTTCAATCATTTTATATTTCTGATTTAAGGTACCACCAGAATTAATATTTGAAATCTTTTACTAGGCAGATAAAACAAGCAGATCTTAAAAATTGTTCTCTTTTGTTTTCATTTAGAAAACAGATACTTTTACATTCCTGGGTTTTGTCCCATGCTGGGTTCAGCTTTTCTTTACAGTTGTCTATAAAGGTTTGTTTCTGGACCCTCTTTCTAATTTTGATACTGTCCATATATTAACTTAAGTTTTACTCTCTCATGTTCATAGAAAATGAACTTGCCAACAAGACTACTAGCTCCCTTTTAAATTAAGAAGTCTAATAATTCAGTATATTAGTTTTCCTAGAGGGCCTTGTAATGACATAACTTATTTTCATTTCCCTCCCATATTATAAATACAGTGCTGTGCTGATGGTGAGTAACCACTATATGTGGGAGGCACTTGTAAGGGTGGGTACTCGCCCATCATCCCAGGAGCTCCACCTCCCAGCCTCTTGTGTGTATTATGACTGGGAGGTAACCTGCCCAACAGTCCTAGGAATATTAAGTGTGGTATTGCACCATTTGTTGAGCAGAAGTTCATGTGCTTCCTATCCACTTAACCAAACTCTGCATAGCATCTGATGATACAGAGTTGAGTCCCTGTGTACCCTTGAGCAGCAGCTCACAGTCTAGTATAGAATTAATTATATTAACTACAAAGATGAAGAATAATTGTTCTTAAAAATATAGAGTTCACTTTAGCAGTTGGATGCTTGTGGCAATGAAAGAACTCAGGCTCCTAAAGGGTGGGAACAATGCGGAAAGGAGACGGATGGGTCTGGGGACCATAAGGGGGATCTGGTACGGACCTGGAGCTCAATGTTTTCCTTTAAGCTGGATAGAGTAGAAGAGAAGGGAAAAAGACCAAGAATCTCCTAGAATGGCTTCCAGCAAACTTAGGTAGAACAACGCATGCATCTTGATAGGGGTTAGGTTTTTCAAATCTACTTGATTATTTTTTAATGTAATCATTTTCAAAATATTATATGGAAAAACTAGACTATTATGTAGTATTTTATGGCAGCAGTCCCCAACCTTTTTAGCACCAGGGACCAGTGCTCTTGTGAGAATCTAATGCCTGATGATCTGAGGTGGACCGGAAGCAGTGATGCTAGCCCTGGGGAGCAGCTGCGAATACAGATGAAGCTTCACTCCCTTGCTCACCACTCACCTCCTGCTGTGCGGCCCGGTTCCTAACAGGCCACAGACTGGTACTGGTCTGTGGCCTAGGAGTTGGGGACCCCTGTTTTACAGGGGGAAAAAAATGGCCTGTTCTATGTGGTGAGAGTAAAAGGAAAGTAGGGACCTGATCAATATATTAAATTAACAAGTAGGGAATGAGTCACCTGCAAACAAGGTCAAAGTGCCACACCAAGTCCCACAGGAAGTAGAACTTCCTTAGAAAATCTCAGGGGAAAATTCTAGCTCTGCTGTGTGATATTTAATGTCTGCTCTAACCCCTTAATTCTAGCGAAGCTTGGCTGCTGAATTACATTAACCTTTTGTCTTTTTCCTATTCTGTTGTCTGAACTCTAGAAAGCCCTGAATATAGAAAGCCTATTACGACATGTGCATATTTGGCTTGGCTGTGAGTGATGTTGTGCTTTTACCCTCCTCATACTGCAGCTCAGGGGTTCACTATACAGGCACTAATGTCCAGTATTCCTTCCTGTGGTTCCTGTCCTTCTGTGGGTAGTTGAACCATCCTCTCTCAAATGGCTCTTTAATACATCTGAAGAAGTATAACTGTCAACACATGCTAAGACTGGGTGGTCCGTGTTTTCAGTTTCCATTTGCATTTTTTCTGTGAGGCACTCACTCTTGTGCTTTCTCATTAATTTACTTGATTGAAAGAATGGAAAATATAAAATTAAATTGCTTCATCCTTGCTTTTAAAGATCAGAGAGACAGTAATCTACAGTAAAAGCTTCTTTCCATTTAACTTTTTTCATTTTGACCCTTCATGTTAATGGCTTCAAGCCCATGTAATTAATCCATTGGCTTAGAGCGCCCTCTTTAGTAAGAGCTTGATAACTGCAAGTGTAATTAGGAATAACCTTGCATTAGCTGTGTGAGCAACATGCCTCACTGTGTCAAACTGGGGTGGAAGTTAGCGCAAATCACCTTTCATTTCCACCCTGAAAAGCTTTAAAAGTAAGTGACCAATCTTAATGACTTTTTAAAAAAGTGAACAACTTTGGAGCTTTTGCATTCAGAAAAGGTAGTAAGCTATGGAAGACAGATGGTAGACGATAGATAAGTCTTCCTTTATCACCCCTTAAAATCAGGTTTACTTATAACTTAGTGCAGATTTTTGAAAGAATAGCTAATTTAGTTAAATGCAGATAAACTAGTTCTTTTATTCGTGATGATTATTTCAAAGAATTGCTTCACTAAGCAAAATCCATGAATGTCCTCCTCTCTACCCAAATCTGTTTTTTGGCCAGTGATTTCATTCCCTTTTTACCCCATCTCATCTGATCAGTAGTAAAAATTGGTCTACTCTTT